GTCAGTTGATTCATGGGGCGATTTTAGCCCATTTTTGGGCTAAATTCGCCCCTGTCTCAGGACAAAGAGTATGGCTGTGCTGTCTACTACTGTTAACCAAATGAAAGCCTGACATTCCTTTAACAAGTATCCCTGTGTGCTTCTGCCCTTCAGCCCCTCCATAGATCACTGTAACACCAGTTTTGATGCTGTGGCAAAGATTCGAGGAGAAACTTTCTTCTTCAAAGGTCTGAAAACAGATTTTTATAAATGTAGTTTATGTAGTTTAACTATGGAAGATGTATCTATAGTAACAGGATACCACAATTCATTATTTTCATTGGGTCATCGCTTCAGGTCCGATGATGTGGAGGGTCAATGGCGGAGGCTTGGTGTCGGGGCGCGGTTCTTCAGTGAGGAGGTTGTGGAGGGGTCTACCCCCTGACCTGCTTCATCTTCAAGCTGTGCTGGAGAGGCGCTCGGATCATGCTATCATCTTTATCAGTGGTACAGTACAGTAACCTACTTGTGAGAGGGGTAAAACGGTGTAAAGGCCACAACAGTCAGTGCAGATTACGCACCATAACTGGCTATTAAAATCGTTGCTGAAACTGTTTAAAAAATCTAAGAAGATTCCTTATTTCTTTATTTCTGTAACAACTGATTGACATGAGTTTTTTTAGATCATATCTCTTCTAGCCTTTACATTTTGCACACTGAAGTACACTGAATGTGTTCTTCAAAATTGTCTCTTTCATAGAATTTGTCTATAGCCATTCCTGAATTACTTTTCAAGCAAGCAGTGATACGTTTGAGAGATAGTGATGTCTTCAGAAAGCAGAACTTGTTGAGATTTATGAGATTATTACTTACTTCCTGCTACTTTCAGAAGACCTACATGCACCTGTCCTATAGCTTCTTTGAACATCTCCTACAGTTTGGCTGTAGATTACATTCTCTATAACCAAAATACTTTTAGCATAGTTAAGGACTAAATTCTCCAGCATCAAAACTGATGTAAGATAAGATAAGATAAGATAAGATAACCTTTATTAGTCCCACACGTGGGAAATTTGTTGTCCAATTATTAAACTGTATCTGGCCTTGGATGTGGCTTCAGGTTTTTAAACCTTTCCTTCTTATTTCTTTGGCAACAGACATCCACTGCCTAGAACATGCATGCAATGATAAAGTGAGAGTGTAAACACAAAATAATACATCAAAGCAGTCACAGTGGACAAGCTTAAACCTTTTTGAAACAATCGATGGTGTTTCACTGCGAATCATCGAACTGGCTTACTAACCTTTTCATGTGACGTCTCGCTGCAGGTCACCAGTTCTGGCTCTTCAAGGACCTGTCTCTGCAAGAAGGCTACCCTCAGCCCCTGTCTGCTCTCAGGACGGGCGTCAGCTTAGATTTAGCAGACACTGATAACGACGATGATGACGAGCAGGCAGCAGGAGCATTAGAGAGATGGGGCCTGGTCTGGGACCCGGAGGAGGGGGCTGTGTGGGGAAAAATTGGAGATGCCAAACAAGAGAATCAAGGAGACACCTGGACACAACTGCTCAAAGAGGGTGTGAATGGAATCACTACAGACACTAATGGTGAGGATCTGATTCATGTGTGAGGTCTTTCTATTAAAGGATCAAATAAACGGACAAAGTTGACTTAATTTAACTAGAACCAGACTAAATTCAGTGAAGTTTCTTTTCTTTCTCTCCAGGCTCTGTCTATCTCTTTAAAGGAGAGTCCTACTGGAAGTTCATGTTTCCAGGTTCATCACTGCATGATGGATACCCACGATCCTCTGCTGCAGACTGGCTGGGCTGCACTGACTCATCCTCACCTGGGATGCAGGACCTCTCCTTTTCACTGTCATCACCTGGAGGAAGAGAGGAGCTCAGGGAGAGTTGGAGATATCGTGGAGAGGAGGAAGACTTGATAAAAAGAAAGCGGGTCAGATACAGAACTAAACACAAAGAGGTGCTGGACAGAGGTTCACACATCTGGACAAAATGCACATGCCGAAACGGAGCCCTGGGGGGCAGGACAACATTTTTGATAGCTGCCTTGCTGCAGGTTACATGGGCACTGTTAGCTGTTTAAAGGTGCACAATGAAAGAAAAAACTGAGGTTTTATTAGACTAAACAGAGTGTGTGTACAACCTTTCCACAAGCACTCGCATCCTCGCCCTGTACTCCTGTCTGAGTGTGAGATTAGAAATGTGCTGCTGGTTTCAGGGAGCAGCGGTGCTAATTACGAGTGCTATTTTAATTAGGAGGCATATTTATTTACCTGTCCACCAGTCATCCGGACATATTGTGAGTTATGACCAGAAAACTGGTTCCATCTGTGAAGGACTGAAGTTGCCAAAATCAATTATTAACAAAAACAACAATAATAAATAATAATAATGATCACGCAGACATTAACTGACTGATAATTTGACATGTTTGTATTTACAGATATCAGTGTTTTAAATGTATGTATGGATCTCTGTATTACTTTTACATTCGTACTTTACAGCAATACTAATCTATCCCAGGCATCACAGACACCACACTAGAAAATGAAAGTGGTTTGGGGAAGTTAAAATTAAAGAGATCATTTTTAATATCATTTTTGATAATATTTTAATTTCAGTTTGACCAGTTTCACCCCAAACCCACCGTAGCTTGTAAACTAAGTTTCTCTTTATACAGACAAAAAGTGGAGTAGTGGCTTTATTAAGTGCTTTTATTATTTCACCTTCCTGGTTAATTTCTCTTATTGCCGTCCCATAGGTGACAGTCTGCAAGCACACACTGTTTAAAAATAAGGATAAAAATCTATGAAGAAGGAGAATAAATGACATTATTATTATTTTTTATCAAAGCCTAAGTTTACTGCAGTTGAACACCACCTCCAACAGGGCAGTCAGTGATGGAGGTAGCCTTTAGCATGCAGCAGATTTGAGCAGTGTAAATGTACACCAACCAATTTGCACTTTTAATAACTCAAAGGGCAGCTGACCCTGACTCAGGTGACATCACTTAAGGACAGCTATCAAACTTAAAAACACATGTTTCAGGTTCAAGGGTCTTTATTCGTCACATGCATAGTTATAACACACAATCAAATGTAACCTGACACGCTCCTTGACTTGAGTAAAAGGGGGGGGGACATTATATCATATATAATATAACATATACATTAGGTGGATGTGCAGTAGTAGCATGTATGCAGCAAGCAGGTAAAGTCTGTACATTAAGTGAATTAAATAAGAACAGACAATCGCTTCTGAACACATAACAACACACGAGAGAAATAGTTTGAGCTCTATTTTCTGACCATTTATTTTTACCCATTTTCCATTCATGTTAACAGCATTTACATAAACTATGCATTTTAATGGTGCACGTATGATGTACTCTCTTAGAAAAAGCATTTCTTACTGCGTCTTCCCTCCTCTGTCTTTTGTTGTTAGAGGTTGTTGTTCTGGCCTGCTGCTGGTATTTCACATGCTTTTTACTTAGTTCGATGTGCTTATGAGCCCTTCTGTTATTTAAAGACTGCCTGCTTGTTCTGAACTCTGATTTTGATCATGATGTTCCTGTAAATAGGGTTTGAAATGAAGTAACTGAAATATGTCAACTTTTGTCAAAGCATTCTGCAGCTGCTGCTTCAACTCCATAATCCACAACAAATGGGGAATATAGTAGAAAGAAATGATCAGTAACTCTAAATGTGTTTGAGATTCCTGAAAGGAGCCACGCTTTGCTTTGTTGACAGTGCAAACCCTTGCACTTTTCTCACTCAGCTTCATGACGTTGTCACCTGAAATGGTTTCACCCACAGGTTTGCCTTGTCAGGGTTCATCTCTGGAATTTCTTGCCTTCTTCATGGGATTTGGGATCATCAGTGCAGAAGTCA